TCTCTCCATATGTAAACACTCTGTGCTACCACACGACACACTCTCTTATTATTCTAATAATCGACGGTATCCAAAACATAAACTTCTTATCTAAAAGCTGCAGCGTGCAAACTCCTGCACGCTGCCTGAGTTGCAGAAATTAGTAACTGAAAAGTTGCCAATGCATTTGTGCACTTCAGACAGCGTGCAGGAGTTTGTTTACAACTTTTGGTCGTTAAAAACAATAAAATAAGAATCCAATCTGAGGTGCCAGGACTTCAACTAGTTCAACAGGTATCCATATCGTTTGATTTCAACTAGAGTCATATGGAAGATTGTGACGACCCTAGATAACCCACACCTGTTGAAGTGACAGTAAGGAGTGATGTGCATCCTGCAGCACGCTGTCAGACAGGCTTGTTTTCTGTCATCTGTCCCTCCACTGTCGGGGGTCTCGTCATCCTCCTCCTCCTGCTCCTCCTCCTCCTCCTCCTCCTCCTCCTCCTCTCAAGGCCGCATGTTTAACGTTTCTCACTGACACACGGTGTCGTCACCTCGTGTCACTCATTGTCAGACAGGCGCTGCACAAGCTCGTGTAAATATGTGACATTCTGCACACCTGAGTGAGACTTTAGGAATGCAGCGGTGACAGGCCGATGTGCATTCCTGCCTCAGGTTTTCATACCTCCCCCCAAAACCCAAATACCTGCAGAACACAGGTGAACACACACTCCAGCTATGTTTACAAACATTCCCACCATTCCCTCTTAGTATATGTTCATAAACATGTTCTCATTTTCTACACACATCAGTGTGTGATGCTTCAGGGTTCAAAGGTCAGAACTCTGACAGTTTGGTCTGCATGAAAGTGCAGGGAGCAGGTTCACATGATTATTGATCAGAATATTTAAAATGATTGTTTTTATGTTTTTAATGCTACAGCAGCACCAAACCTGCTGCATTGTCTGACATGTAACATTTTGTGTCTGCCCCCCCCCCCCAGGCCTGGTGGATGACCGACAACATGTCCACTGATGTGTGGGGCCGCTGGTTACAGACGAACGGAGTGTGGAACTTCACCGACCTGCCCACAGGATCGCACTACCCAGAAGGTGAGCGGGGGAGGGGCTCACATGCGTCCACATCGACTTTCCTTTTCTGTCTCCATTCATCACATGCACTTTAACTTCGAACACAAAGGTAGCAAACTGCTGTTAGGGGGGGCCGCCCCCTGAAGCGAGACACTAAAGGATCACAAGCAAATGTTTAACGAACCCTTGAGGTGCTTGATGAGAGTGTAAAACTCAGAGATGGAGCTGATCTCCATCTCTGAGTTTTTTTTATTAATACTCTTTATTGAAAATTTCAATACAACACACAGTACCCCCCAACCCAAGTGACCAGACAGTATATTTGACTAAACAGAAAGAATTAGAGAATAGAATAAAAAACAAATGAATAAAAAAAAACAATAATAATAATAAATAATAATAAAAGAAACTGAAACAAACCTATATATATGTAACTTTACATGCTCTTACACTCTTACACTCTACATGTTTATACATGAAAGGAAATAATAAGAATGATAATAAAAAGAGATAGCAGACTTAACTTAAAAAACAACTACAATAACATAAATCTATCATATGGATTCAGAAAAAATAAATACATTTATTTAGAATTTTTAATACAAGATAAAAAAAAGATGCTTCTTCAACACGTGAAGAAAACTACTTGCAGCCTGTTGCTGTCCAAATCAGTCCTACCTCTGACCAGGACCATGCCACCCCTGACCCCCCCATATGGACACGGCCTCTCTCCCAGGACAAAACGATGCAAATGTTTTCTGCAAAGCTGAAAGTAATGACGTGTTTTCATCTTTTACCTCGTCTGTTTGTCTTAAACAGCAGGATGTGTAAACCACATTTGTCTGAAAGCAGAGTGTCGGTGCAGAGTGGCTGTTTCCTGGGTGTGTCAGTGTGATAGTTAACACACCCTCTCTCTCCCTCTCTCTCTCTCTCTCTCTCTCTCTTCTCTCTCTCTCTCTCTCTCTCTCTCTCTCTCTCTCTCTGGCTCCCCCTGCAGATTACCTCCAGGCAGTGCAGGCCAGCTCAATCCTAGCTTGTATATTCTCCATCCTGGGCATCTTCGTGTTCGTGGCTCAGCTCTTCACCCTGGAGAAAGGAAACAGGTTCACCATCTCTGGCATCTTCCAGCTCCTCGCCTGTGAGTTCATGTCACCTCTTAACTCGCCCTTCTCTCTCTCTCTTTGTCTGTGCTGAAGTCAGTTTCTCTTTTAAGGTCTTCAAAATGATCTCTACTCTGATTCTTAGTGGATGTGTACCTTACAATCTCTTTTATTTAATGATGGATAGTATTGAAACTAATCTGTTTTCATAAGTCAGGTGTTCAGGAGATGAATGAATCCATCAGAAACTGTTGCACAGTCTAAATTGCACAAAAGCGTTGACAGTATTTAACGTTGTGCAAATGTTTTTGTGCAATCTAGACCGTGTGTAACAGCCTCATTGGAACTTCTGATATTTAAAAACAAGAACAGTGGGGGATTAGGACTTCTATTTTTGTTGGTATCAAAACAGGAATTACTTTTATCATATAGAAGTTTTAAAAACTTCTGCTTAGTTTGCACGCTCCGATGTAAAGAGGCGGGCATCCCGGGTTCAAATCTGACCTGTAGCTCCTTCCCTGCATGTTCTTCCCCTCTCTCTCTCTCTCTCTCTCTCCTTCTCCCTCTCTCTCCTCCCTTCTCTCTCTCTCTCTCTCTCTCCTCTCCTTCTCTCTCTCTCTCTCTCTCCCTCTCCTTCTCTCTCTCTCTCTCTCTCTCTTCTTCTCCCTCTCTCTCTCTCTCTCTCTCTCTCTCTCTCTCCCTCTCCTTCTCTCTCTCTCTCTCTCTCCTCTCCTTCTCTCTCTCTCTCTCTCTCTCTCTCTCTCTCTCTTCTCCCTCTCTCTCTCTGTCTCTCTCTCCCTCGCTCTCTCTCTCTCTCCCTCTCTCTCTCTCTCGCTCTCTCTCTCCTTCTCTCTCTCTCTCTCCTTCTCTCTCTCTCCCTCTCCTTCTCTCTCTCTCTCTCTCTCTCTCTCCTTCTCCCTCTCTCTCTCTGTCTCTCTCTCTCCCTCTCTCTCTCTCTCTCTCTCTCTCTCTCCCTCTCTCTCTCTCTCTCTCTCTCTCTCTCTCTCTCTCGCTCTCTCTGTCTCTCTCTCTCTCTCTCTCCTTCTCCCTCTCTCCCTCTCCTTCTCTCTCTCTCTCTCCTTCTCCCTCTCTCCCTCTCTCTCTCTGTCTCTCTCTCCCTCTCTCTCCCTCTCCTTCTCTCTCTCTCTCTCTCTCTCTCTCTCCCTCCCCTCTCTCCCTCTCCCTCTCCCTCTCTCCCTCTCTCTCTCTCTCTCTCTCTTTCTTGCACCTTGTGACGCCCTGCTCTCCCTCTCTCTCTCTCTCTGTCTCTCTCTCTCCCTCTCTCTCTCTCTCTCTCTCCTCTCTCCTCTCTCTGTCTCTCTCTCTCTCTCTCTCTCTCCCTCTCTCTCTCTCTCCCCCCCTCTCTCTCTCTCTCTCTCTCTCTTCTCTCTCTCTCTCTCTCTCTCTCTCTCTTTCTTGCACCTTGTGACGCCTGCTCTCTCTCTCTCTCTCTCTCTCTCTCTCTCTCTCTCTCTCCAGGCCTGTGCATCATGATCGCAGCCTCCATCTACACAGACCGTTTCCACCTGGACGAGAACTTCGGCTGGTACGGTCACTGCTACATCTTGGCGTGGATCTCCTTCGCCCTCACGTTCATCTCCTCCATCATTTACTTTGTGCTACGCAAGAAAGTAGCGTAACATGGACATTAGCTTTAGCTCCAACCGGCCCGAGAAACCTCTGGCTGGATCTACTCTCCCCGCTAAAATCTGTTCCTTAAGTTTGTGTTTGTGTTCTTCAGATTTGAGCTGCGAGTGTATTTTCAGCCGCACATTCAGAAGAGCTGCGGGACCTCCTCCAATACGAGCTCGTGTTTGATGGAGTCTGCGGCGTCGAGTGTGCTCAGACTCCATCCATCACGCACGTATTTGAGCTGATTCTGCTCCCAGTAAATCCGGTTCATAACTAAACCAGATCTGTGCTCTGTTGTTTCTGCACATTTACATTTGGATTTGAGTGTTGGATAAAAAGGGGCAAGTTTGTTTATTTTCTTATTATTTTATTGTTAGTTGATCATATTTTTTTTCTTTCATATATCTGCTCCGGTTCTCGTTTAAAAAAAAGAAAAGTGCCACTAACTCACGAGGTCTGAAAACGTGACCTGACCTGTGTGTAAGCTATGCAACTCTGTAACGTGTAAATCACTGATATAAAGCTGTGGAGTTTTTTGTAATTATTTGTGATTAAAAGAAACAAAAAACAAGTTGAACGTGTATAACTGGAACACTTTCTCCACACTTATTTTATGAACGGTTCAGAAACTTACAATAAAGTTCATTATTATAAAAACACAGATAGATTTTCTAGGTATCCTCTGAAACTTTCTCTTTCAAATAATCCGTTCCTTTAATCCGATTGCGGCCTGCGTGACAGGAAGTCGTCACGCCTGAGATTTAAAGTGTAAATATGTTTCTCCACATGAGGCTGTGTGTGTCTGACGACGTTTTATTTTTGTTGTTTCTCATTTTCAAACAACAGTGACGAGGATTTTTCCAAAAATAAAACTTGATTTTCAACCATTTATCTTTGTGTCTTCTCCGTTCAACACAATCACACGGTGACGCTCAAACACCCGTCATGATGTTGTTCCAATGTGTTTCATGTTTGAAGTCCTTTAAATGATTGGATGTTAGACAAAGGACTGAAAAGACAATTAAAAGTGATAATCTGAAGAAACATTGGGTCATATATCAAGTAAAACAACATATTTTAAAGTCTTTAAATGTGATTTTTCACCCTTAAATGTATAAATCAAGTATCTCCTCTGAAAATAACTCTGTGAGTCATGACTGTCTACAATGGGTGTAACACCCGAGTCCCACTGTCTGTGATGTTTTCAGAGTTTTCAGAGTCCTATCTTCACTTTGTTTACATCGCCGGGACGGCCGGCTGACTCCTCCCCTCGTGTATAAAAGTTGTTTAATTGAGGGACTAGAGAAAAGAAGAATAACATACTGTACTCACTGCTTAACTGTGTTTCTAGATCACGCTCATTTCAGGTAAATTTACATGCAGTGTGAAGATACCAGCATAATAAAGATCGCTAGCATTAGCATGCTAACACAACAATGCAGCGCGAGCTGTTTTGGTTTCATGCTGGAGCTCAAGGGCGACATCTGCTGGATCAAAAAATCACATATAAAGACTTTAAGATAATCAGGACAGGAGGACAGGAAATGTTGGGAGCAGAGAATGGGGGGGGGGTGGACGTGCCCTCCAGGATGCCCGTCGAGTGGGAAAACCAGGGTACAGTGCCCCCCAGGTTGTAACTCCAGAGACCAAAACTTCATAAAGTGCCCTCCAGGGTGTCTTCAAAGTGCCCTCCGGACTTCAGCGTATAGTGGTAAGGTGCCCTCCAGGGTGTCTTCAAAGTGCCCTCCGGACTTCAGCGTATAGTGGTAAGGTGCCCTCCAGGGTGTCTTCAAAGTGCCCTCCGGACTTCAGTGTATAGTGGTAAGGTGCCCTCCAGGGTGCCCCCTCCAATGGAATAACTGTGTACAAAGTTGTGATAACGATAAACCTTATTTTAAAACATATTAACACTTAATGCACAGCGACCTCTCATTGAGACCTAAACATGCGGCTACACCAGGCTAGTAAAAAGGACTGGGACTTAAAGTGGGCTTGGCATCCCTGCACTCATGTTCACTTCATCTGTCTACTCTCCTTTATATTGAATAGTTTCTGCTGATAATATGTCTGCACTCCTGCACTTTAACTTCTGTCAATACTGTCCATTTAATCTTCCATATTTAATCTTCCATATTTAAGACTAGTAATGTTTAGTTAAATCCTGGTTGTATATGTTCACATTCTTAGTTTGGATATTGTTAGTGCTTATTTACTTTGTATTTAATATTATATTGTGTTTAAATTTGCTAATATTGTGTTTTTTATTCATTTTGTGTGTTTGGACAACCTGCTGCTGTAACAACACAATTTCCCAGTTTGGGATCAATAAAGTCATTCTATTCTATTCTATTCTATTCTATTCTATTCTGTTCTCTTCTATTCTATTTGAAGTTTCTTTTTAAGAATCTAAGAAGCGTTTCTAACTATTTTCCTAAACATGAATGAAGACTATTTTGTTATTTCCTCCCCTCAAACATCCTGACTGTCTCTCTGAACTGATAATCAGACTGTGAGCTGCTGATGTTGTTGTCGGTAAATCACGGGTTCTCTGCGTGTCATCGTGACGCAACGTGATGACGTAACGTGATGACGTAACACAGGCAACCCGTCCGGCTGACTGTCAGACTTTTTTCAGCCTGAAGAGCAACAAGACGTCTCCTAAACATGGCTCTAAACCGGAATCACTCGCAAAACGGCGGCGTTTTGATAAACAACGAGAAAGGTACGTTTCTAATAAAACATATATGAAGTTATTCAACGAATGAGGCCGCTGTCGTCTCTTTTATGAGCTGTTTACTCTCAACTCTCCGGTGCGTAGTCAACGGATGCTAACAACAGCTAGCCTCCCTAGCTAGCAGAGCTAACACGTCTGTGCCATTTAGACGACATCAGGCAAAGAAATGTCTTTTTTTGGTTATTTAGACTTAATTGACTCTCTTAGAGTCATGTATTGAAAGATGATTTACTGGAAGCGTCGTTTATCTGTCAAATCAGGAAGTAGCGAAGTAGCAATCGTTTGTGTTGAAATGTTGTGGAAACAGAAATGATGTCAGCCAGTGTTGAAAGTCTGTGAGAAACATGTTAGCTCAACAACAGGTGCTGCTTGTCAACAGGTAAGTGCTTTGGGCCCGGGCCAGTAGGGGCCTCGAGGGCTGACACACTTTACACCACAGAATTGGCTCAAAATGTGGATATTTTCCAATGCCTGTAGTGAACCTCCCTGAGGGGCCCCATCTGACAACACTCACTGTCGTTGACCTGCTAAGCACAGCATGCATTGTTGTTTTGAAAACCAAAGATTAAAGGAGTAGTTATGCTGGCTGGAGGGCCCCACTGTTAAATTTGGTTCATTATAAATGTGTCAGCTGGGACGTCACTTCAAATAATATACACCGCTTTACATACGGGTCACACAGCTGAAGTCAACATAAAATATAAACAAACTTATTTACAGTCACTTCTGGTACCTCTGAGCTGAGGGAGGCAGGTAAACAAACTACAGGGTGATGATAGTGGGGGGGCAGTAGCTCAGTCTGGAGGGACCTGGGTCAGGAACCGAGCCAAGCCCCCGTGCAGACCAAGTCTGGAAACGGGTCTGGTAGCTGAAGAAGCGCCGGAGCACTGCCGAGGCTTCCCTGAAGGTTAGGGTAACCCTAGATCAGGGGTGGGCAACTGGTGGCCCGGGGGCCACATGTGGCCCTTGTCAACCCTCAATGTGGCCCTCAGGTCAGTTTTTATATATCAAAACAAAAAACAAAATGACAATCTGCCATGAAATCATGAAAACCAGAAATATTTCCATAATAATATTTGATCAGTGGTATATGTCGAGTTAAATTTGAAACATAATTGACTGTTATCGTTTTTGTATTCTACAATTTGGACCCCTGGCAGTCAGAATTAAATGAATGTGGCCCTTGCTGTGACCAAAGTTGCCCATCCCTGCCCTAAATCTTTTATTTTGTATCTAACAGGTGATTTTGTTTCTTTTCTTTCCAGCGTTGTAAGGGACTGTAAGAATGTGGAGCTGTCGTTCAGCGATGTTTCCTGTAAGACAGACCTCCTGAAAGGGACCAAGAAGGGCACCGTGTACCTGACACCATACAGGGTAACGTCATGTTAAACTCACCATGGCGGCTGTCGTCTGGGTTGCACAGTTGGCAGCGTTCAGACTCTGCATTCATCAGCGCTCTGTGTTGTAACTCTTCCTTTCGTCCTTTGGCTCAGATGGTGTTTGTGTCCAGTAACATTAAGGACTGCATGGGGTCGGCCATGTTCCCGTACTATCTGATGAAGGGCTGCAGCATTGAGCAGCCGGTCTTTGCAGCTAACTTCATTAAAGGGACGGTGTCGGCCGAGCCTGGCGGTAGGTGACCTCGACCTCACGATTTGATTGGTTAGGATATTGGATGTGATTTTTAATTTATTTGTGTTGTTTCGCTCCCCCGTCAGGTGGCTGGGAGGGTCAGGCCCATTTCAAAATGTCGTTCCCAAGCGGAGGCGCCATCGAGCTCGGGCAGCATCTCTTCAAACTGGCCACAAACGGTTTGAACACTTTTTAATAAAACATCTTATAAAGAACTAAAGATGTAAATAAAACACTCACACATTCATAACCCTGAAAAGTTAAACAATGTTTTTCTGTTTCAGCTTCTCGTGCTCCTCCGGCCCAGAACGGCGCCTCCTCTTTCGGGTACCCATCTCCTGGAATGATGAACGGCTACGGCCCGCCTTCTCAAGCTCCTCCCGCCTATCCTTTCCCCCCCCCTCCTCCTCAGCAGAATGGATTCTACCAAGGCCCTCCCCCGGCGCCAACCAACATGGGTTACCCCTCTCCAACACCTGCTGCAGGTAACGTTCAGATGTTTGAAGTTTTGACAGTCGTGTGTCAGATTCTACTGAAGGAGGCGACGGAGAAAAGAAGTGTATGATCACGTTCAGTTAGGGGGGTTTGACGTTAGGCACGACTGCTCCCCTCCCCCTGCCTCTCCCCCCTCCCCCGCTTCCCCCTCCCCGCTCTCCCCCCCTCTCCCCCTCCCCTCTCCCCTGCTCTCCCCTCCTGGTCTGCGTTCAAATTAGGAACGTCCATGCCCGAGGACACTTTGCATATGTACTCAGTCCGATGCAGCAGGTGGCAGTATGCACACAAATCCATCAAGAAGCAGAAAGAAGAAGTAACCATGGCAACCACTCACAGGCTCAATACAAACTGTTGATGATTCTTTCACTTTCACCCTTGGTAATATACCTGGAAATACCTGTAATATTTGAGTCTGATCTGCATGTTTGAACGCAAACAAACAAACTTCTCACTCCGACTTTTCCCGGATTTTTTCCTTTTTCCTTTTTCATTTTAAATATTTATTGGAGCAGCAGACGATTGTTTGTGTTTGGCGTCTAGGCTCCGACCTCATCGCTCCTCACAGTTTTGATTTAACCGTCAGAAATCTGAGGAGTGATGGATGATATCTTAAACCCCGTCCAGCCAGAGCCTGCAGCGGATGCTGGTGTGGAGGTGGGCTGAGCGAGAGTGCAGAGCTGGTGATGAAGGAGCAGAGAGGGAGAGAGATCGTGCAGCTTAGAGCGCTAATTGGAAGGAGGTGTTTGTAAGGTGATAGTTGAGAATGACGCACGTCAGGTGTGAAATCAGTGCAGCTCGAGTCGGCTGTCTGAACCAGGCGGAGGCGTCTCCTCGTTCATTTCACCTTTATTTATCCAGGTGAGTCACACTGAGACCAGAGAGCTCTTTATTAAGGGAGACCTGAGCAAGAAGAGCAGCAACACAGATTCAACAACACAAACACTCAAAGTCTGGTCAAAGTTTGGATTCAGGACTCCTCTCCTCTCTCTCTCTCTCTCCTCTCCTCTCCTCCTCTCCTCCTCTCTCTCTCTCCTCTCTCTCTCTCTCCTCTCCTCTCCTCCTCTCCTTCTCGTTTCCGTTTCCGTTTCCGGTGAGTGTGAGTGTGAGTGACGGTGGTGGTGTTGCGAGTGGCGCGGAGATTGAATTGTTTGCTATCCTTTCTACTGTTTTCAAAGTGCATGATCAGGTCAGATTGTTTTCATATTTGTATTGAGTGTTGTTGGCTGTGTAAGACAGATCGTTGGAGGGGTTGGAGGGGAATGGCGTCTGCTGAGACGCCACCTCCGACTCTCCGACAGGGAGTTCGGATAGTCCCTCCGAGTGTACTGTAGGTGCAGCTGAACAGGTAGGCCATGATAAACTTTTGTATGCATCCCGAATGAACAAGGCTGTGGTTGTTTTTCTGAAGAGTGAGCCTCTTGTGTATCAGCTGATTGAGAGTGGTGTGTTCATTAGGGATTTGTTTGTGCAGGTTTCCCCGTTGTCGGTTCCCTCTACGCGGATCACCGTATCCGGTGTTCCGCCGTTTATTTCTAACACTTGTTAGAGAACGAACTCCGCAGGTTTGGGAAGTTTGCGAGTGGTTTCAAAAACTGTGAGTCTAGGGTGTAAAGATCCCAAACTGAAACATGTCCAATCTTTGCGGCGTCAGGTGTTCATGTTTTTGGATTCGCCCACAGACTGGCGGGGCAGCTCTGTTGAGTGTGGCGCATTGTGCGGGGGCGCGTCCGCGTCGTGCCGGGGCGGGGGCCGCGTCCGCGTCCGTGCCCGGGCGGAGGCCGCGTCCGCGTCGTGCGGCCGGCGTCCGGCCTGGGGCGGGGGCCGCGTCCGTGCCTGGGGCAGAGGCCGCGTCCGCGCCTGCGCCTTGTGCTGAGGCCGTGGCTGAGGTAGAAGTGGCTTCGACCAGCTCTCAGGCTACAGAAAAATCACAGACTGTAGATAATGATAAAACTGAAGATTCCACAAGTTCTGCAGTTGTAGATGTTTCATTGAAGGAAGGTAAGACAGTGTGTTGTAGCCAGGCATCATGTGAAGGAGAGGACATGGATGAAGATTATGAGTCAGACAATGCATCCATTGCTGATTTGCCAAATAGTGGCTCTGGTCTTTATTCTTTAGAGTCAATCAATCAATTTATGGATGAAACGTACAACAAATCAGTAAAAATCAGTGACTACTTTAGTGATACTGAAAAGTTCATAAAGTCAGTCAGCATACTGAAAAGACAGGTTGGGTTTGACCTCCTGGACGCGAAAAAACGGTTCCGTCTTAAAAAGCACATCACCGCACTGAGGAAAGTTGGACGTAAGAGTGTGAAGAAGACAAAGAAATGATCATGCATCACAAGGTGTTTTTCTTCTTCTACTGTTCCCTGTTTGTGTCTACTTGTCTGTTCTTTCTCTCTGATCTTTCTATGAGGAGTCTTAAGATAGGATCTCTTAACATTAATGGTGGGAGGACAGACAGAAAAGGGGCCTTATCTCTGAGATCTCAACTCAGAAAAACATTGATATCTTGTTTTTACAAGAGACTCATACCACACCATCAGATGAGACAGATTGGGGTTTATGGTGGGAGGGCTCTAACTACCTTAGCCATGGCACCAACTTTAGTGCAGGAGTAGCCATTTTGTTTAGAGCATCTGCAAATGTAAAGATCGTCTCTTGTGCTGAAATTGTAAAGGGAAGGCTTTTAATTGTAAGAGCAGAAATAGAGGACACTGTTTTCTGCTTCACTAATATTTATGCTCCAAATAATGGAGCTGAAAGGGTAGCTTTCTATACCCGCCTCCAAAAGGAGTTACTGATCTATAATCAGGATCAGATCATTCTTGGTGTGATTTTAACTGCACACTTGATTTCACCGTGGATAGAATAGGAGAGGAGCCACATCCACATTCATCCCAGACTTTAAACACTGTCATCTCTCACCTGGATTTGTTGGACACATTTAGAGTGAAACATCCACAATCCAGACAGTATACATGGGTCAGGGTTAACAGTAACAGGGTGTGTGCAGCTAGACTGGACAGGGTTTACATCTCCAGAACTCTCAACCCCAGATTAATTCATTGTAATATTCTGCCTGTCGGCTTCACTGATCACCATTTTGTTAGTGTGGAGCTGATTATTTCACCAGGTGAAAGGGCTAAGTCCTTCTGGCATTTTAATAACAAGCTTCTACTGGACAATGTTTTCTGTAAAAACTTTGGGTGTTTTTGGGATCAGTGGCAATTAAGAAAAGTTGAGTTTGATTCTTTGAAGCTTTGGTGGGAGGTTGGTAAAGCTCAGATTCGTGTTTTTTGTCAGCAGTACACGTCACACTCTTCTGCTAGATTAAAAACAGTCATTAAAAATCTTGAGGACAACATTAAGAACCTTGAGGAGGGGTTAAATGGGAGTGTGGATCCACCACTGGTACCCTGCTGAAGGAGAAACGTATGGAGTTGAGCTCTTTCCTGCAGGAGAGGGTGAAGGGAGCTCTTGTGCGGAGTCGTTTCCTTCAACTCAAAGACATGGATGCCCAACGTCTTTCTTTTTCAATCTTGAGAGATCTGTGGCTCAAAAAAAGCTGCTGACTTGTCTGAAACTGCCAGGAGGTCGAATAACAGCTGATCCAAAGGAAATGAGCAGTCACGCCATGCAGTTCTATGAGGATCTGTTTGGAGCAGAGAGTTGCAGCCAGGAGTGTCGCAGGGAGCTCCTGGAGGGTCTCCTCAGCTCAGTGTGGAGGAGAGGTCTCTTCTGGAAGGGGAGCTGTCTCTGGAGGAGCTCACTGCTGCTGTCACTCAGATGGCAACAGGAAGAGCACCTGGAATAGATGGGTTGTCCACAGACTTTTTTAAGAGGTTCTGGAATATTCTTGGGTCTGACCTGCATAGTGTTTTAATGGAGTGTTGCAGGACGGGTCTCTTCCTGGTTCTTGTAAGAGAGCAGTTCTTTCCTTGCTCCCAAGAAAGGTGACCTGGCATTGTTAAAAAACTGGTTGCTTTGCTTTGTGCGGACTACAAGATCCTCTCCAGAGCTTTATCGAACAGACTAAAGGACGTTCTGGGAAGTGTGGTCCATAAAGACCAGAGTTACTGTGTTCCAGACCGGACAATCATGGATAATGTTTTTCTTATCAGAGATGTCATTGATGTGTGTAAAATCTATAATCTAAATGTTGGCATTGTCTCTGGATCAAGAGAAGGCGTTTGACAGGGTGGATCACTCGTATTTGTTTTCTGCACTGAGGTCTTTTGGTTTTGGGGATGGTTTTTGTCATTAGTTGGTTGTTGTATCAGGATGCACAGTGTTTGGTGAAGATGGGGGCGGGGTTGAGTCGGCCAATCCCTGTACGGCGAGGGATCAGACAAGGTTGTCCCATCTCCGGCCAGCTGTACAGCTTGGCTATTGAGCCCTTGCTGTGCAGGTTGAGGGACCGGCTCAGCGGGCTTTCTTTGCCCGCCTGTAGCATTGAATGTCCCCCTACAATTTCTGCCTATGCTGATGATGTAAACATCTTCATCTCCAATCAGGGGGACGTTCGGTGTCTGCGGGACACCCTGTCCCTGTATGAAAGGGCAACAGCTGCACGGGTGAACTGGGAAAAAAGTGGTGCCTTATGGTGGGAGAGTGGAGGGACCAGGCAGTGCCCAGTCTGCCGGTGGACTTGAGTGGGGAGGGAGGGGTTGAAGGTGTTGGGGGTTTATTTGGGTACCGAGGGCTTTAAAAGTAAAAACTGGGAGGGAGTTAGGGAGAAAGTGTGCGCTCGGTTGTGGTTGTCGTATAGGGAAGAGTTCTGGTGGTCAATAACTTGGTTTCGACTCTGGGACTTGTTTTGACACCTCCAAGAGGGCTGGTGGAGGACATTCAAAGGGCCATCCTGGACTTCTTCTGGTCAGGCAAACACTGGGTCCAGGCGGCAGTCCTACCTGCGGTGGGCATGGAAGATTCAGTCAAAAATTGCTCATTCAGACTCCAGACTGCACAGAGACTCCTTTGTGGTCCCAGCTGGATGGACATCGCTCGACTGCTGCTGAGGAGAGCTGGACGGCTGGGGTACACTAAGCAGCTCTTTCTGTTAAAGCTTGAGGAGGTGGATCTCACTGGAT